GATGAACGAGAGAGGGGAGGCTGTTGACTGGGCGTTTGGCTGGGTGTTTGATTACTGTTGGTCGGAGGAGGAAGAAGAGAGGGGGTGGTGTTGGTTGCGGTGCTGAAGGACGAAGAGGAGTTGGGTTGGGGGACTTGTACGAGAGTGGGAGGGAATATGATGTTGGGTTCGTGATTGAGGTAGGGAGAAGATGGGTTCGGCTGATTGATGTGAAGGAGAGAAAGAGAGTTGACGGCTGGGAGTAAACAAACGAGAAGAAAAGAATTATCAGTCTAGGGTTTCACACATTGGTTTCACACCAAAGTTTTAGCTAATGTAATTTTTCATTCAATATTCAATAATCATTCCCGATTACATTAGTCCCTTAAATCAAGGTTTTAAATGTCGTCCGACATGTCCGACATGTCCGACATATCGGCCGACATATCGGTTTGAGGGCTTGACCGACACGACATGGACATTTGCAACTCGTATGTTGGTTTTTAGGGCCAAATCGAAAATATCAGGGTCATATCGGGCATATCGGCCTATTTTTTAGCTTTGAAAAATCGGTCGATATGGTACTTTTTTTTAAGATCTGTTTTTTGTTATCGGGTTTGAATTTAGTAATAAATACCCAAACCCGTTTGACCCGTTCTCATGTTTAAGGGTTTCTTTATGAACCCGATAGAAAGAATTTATGAACCTAAATCCATATATTATTTACTTTTTTATATGTTTAGTCTATAGAATTTAAAGTATGCTTATATTGAATTTATGAATGCTTAGATTACATTTAGGACATGATATTATACATATACGCACTACCCGATATAACAATCCGATATTTAGTCAATGTCCCCCGATATATCCTCAATTTTCGCTATCCGACATGGATTCCATCCATCCGACATGAACATGAACCTGACATCCGACATTTAAAACCTTGCCTTAAATAGATAAAAATTACAGATTTTCAAAATCTCACAAAATCTCTCACAATCAATAACTACCAAATTTAAACCTAATTCGAAATTCAAATATAAACTACTAAAATTAAATTACAATTCGAAATTCAAATTTTAAAATAAAAAAAAGTCAACTAATAAAAAATTATCATTTCTTGTCCTCATCATTCTCCCCGAGTGGGAGAAAACTTGACTCCGTCGAGTTAGCTGCAGAAGCTTGTCGTCTTCAATATAGTCTGCCTGCATCTTAATCTGCCATCAGTTATTTTCCTGCATCTCAAATCATTAGCTAGATTGCATTGTAAATTCACCATCTAAAGTATTATCAAAATTCACTGCTGTATGGGTGAATATATAGAAGTTGGGTAAAGCGAAAGAACTCTCAGAACAATAGGTTAGGGTCAGGCTTATATCAGTGGACTGCTAATAAACATTGTGAACTGTTTAATCAATCAATATTGAGAATATAACTATGACCAAATCGATAATATAAATGTTGCCATTAATTATTTCAAAAGTTGGAAAAGTTAATAAATATCATGTCAAATCTTAAACAATTATAAAGAAGCTGTACTGGATAAGTCCAAACCATCTCAAATATCATCATTAATAGTCTCAAATTATGTCCTAACTTCATATCATACATTTCAGATAACAATGTATTTATTCAAGTTAAATCACTGATTCCCCAATATATGATCAATGCAAGTCACAAATGATATGAATTGACTCAAATGATTATGATGAAATGTAGACTCGAACAATGCGATCAATGACAGATTTAGACTCAACAAAGTATCTAACATGCATGACGTCCTCTATCAAAAGGGATATTAGGCGTTCCTTCGTTAATATAAATAATAAATTTCCTATTCTAGCAGTGATAGTGATGAACATGCAGACAAATGTATGTTGGAGGAGTGTTTTTGTGCACTTAATATGAGAGAAAGGAAATGAAACCACTCATGATCAAACTCGTATCCTTAATCACTATATATTCCCAGAATGGATCAGTGTAGGTGGGAGTGATTGTCGGGACAATGCATTGTGGTGGGATATCTAGTATGGTAGTTATTTCACTATGCTCAGTTTGAGATTCAACTTCCATACAGATATCTGAGTGAATTGCTTTAGGACCCACATCAGGAACATGTTGGGGGTTATGTTGGTCCGGAAGGACTTCGTGGGGAACATCAACAACGTTTTCAATTACCAGAGTGCGTTCATGAGGGGTTGGAGTTTTAATTTCAAGAACTTCAGAGACAATATCAGTGAACTCCGTGATCAAAGGGGTAGCTTGGGGAATAACCAGAGTGTTGTCATTGTATGAAAATTCAATCAACTCCACAATTACAGGGGTAGTTTCAGAAGAAACGAAAGTGCATGGTTTTTCTATTTTACTATCCCGAAATTTCTTGCCAGAGTTAGATTCTATCAAATCTACGGCCTGGTTAACGGTTTCCTCAATAATAGATTTTGATTCCGTTAGAGACGACTTATTAATTCTAACTCTGAATAAGGTTGTACAGATGGTAGCGACGTGCTCATATCATTGACAATTGTAACACTGAATTATTGGGCTAATTTTGGAGAAATCTCTCTGACTCCTTGCCCTTGGGTTCGACTCTAGACTGGGAAGAACTAGGGTTAAATCGACTCGGAGGCTGACTAGAGGTAGGGGCACGGGAAGACTGGGAGGAATGAGTTCGAAAATCCCGACGCCTATGAGATTGGTAGGATTTGGCTTCATCTAGATCTTGAACTAAGGTGTAAGCTCTCTCAAGGGTGTTTACTCCTCTAGCAAAGAGTTCGGTTTAGAGGTCACTTCTCAATTCGGCTCTAAACTTTAACAAGACTTTCATGGGTGCCTCTTGCTCAATAGTGTTGCATCGTGTAAACAATTCATCAAATTGAGCAACATACTTTTTTGCAGATTTGGTTCCCTGAGTAAGACAATGCCACTTGTCGAGCAATTTATGATAGAACGATGGCGAGAGGTATTTCCTTTTAAGCTCATCGACCATTTCTCGTCAAGCTAAAATTGGTAATTCACCTCTAATATGTCTTAACATTTCGAGGTTGGACCAATATTAGCAGGCGGGTCCGGTGAGTTTCATTGCGACAAACTTGACTTTCCGCGACTCTGTCAGGATGCACCAATTGAAGTAGCGATCCATGCTCTTCAGCCAGTCTAAGAAAGCTTCTGGGTTGAACTTATCATCAAAGGTTGGCGGGTCAGGCACAGGCTGAAGTGGGGGTCGATGAACGATGTACCCATAACCTTGTCCTTGCGGAGGTGGAATTGCAACACGTGCTTTTCCTAGACTAGTGCGCATTTCGTTGGTTGTGTTATGGGCGGTCTCGTGAGTAGCTTGGCTCTCCTGGGCTAAGTTACCTATTTGTCGTGCTAGCTCAGCGATTTGCTTAAGGAGTTCGGGATCTGTGTTGCCTGACATGCTGGACTCACTAGATGATTCACTAGACTCTCCCAATCGATAGGGTAGGCCTGTGCGAGTGGGCATGCACTAACAACTAAATGAGATGAATGTGTGTACTAACAGCTAAATGAGATGACTGGATTGTTTTTTAATCAAATAAAGACTCAACTTAAGTAAAATTTCCTAACCTATAACCATGCTCTGATACCAAAAATGATGCGAAACGGGAGAGGGTGTCTATCAAAATCAGCGATCTAAATAAAATAAAACACCGTTTCGCTAAAATTCATGATCTTCGGTAGGAAATCAAACTAAACATTTGATAGATGGATTTTAACAAGATTTACAACGATAGTCATGAATAATTCCAATCTCAAACAATTTAATCGTAATATTAATTATCATTGCACAAGTTCTAAAAATCAATATCAAGATTGCAACAGTCATATGTTCAGTTCCTCTCAACTCACAAGTGTAATCTAAGCAGTGAATATATGATAAGAGTTTAGAGATGAAGTACTCATGCAATTAACTAATAAATTAAAATTAACAGAAAAATACTGAGTTGAGAGAAACAAAACCTTAGTGGATTACTATTCGGAAATGTTGAGAAAATCCAAAAGCCTATTAGCTACTACGGTGAAGCCCACAACCCAACAAGTCCATACATGTCACAAATTTGTTTTGATCCCTTCTGCGTTGTCTTCGATCCGATGGAAAGGGAAGCGACAGACGTCAACGCGGTGATAGAGATCTGACGGCGAAGGGGAGCGGCGGGCTCAAGGGCGGAGTTCGTGGACTGAGATCTGGCGGCGAAGTGCTCTCAAGTGCTCCTCACAAGATGCCTCACAAGATGTTGGTGCTGTGACGAATCGTGGGAAAAAGGACATGAGATGTGGTGGCGGTTCTTGGTGGTTGGGTGGCCTGTTGGGGGTGAGGGAGGTGGCGGTAGCAGGGGTTTGACAGGCACAGGGGAAGGGGACGGCGCTCGAGTCCACCGCCGCAAAAGGCAGGCCCAACAGAGGCGCGGGTGCGGCCTCTTTGGGAGGAGCATGACGTGTTGACGGCAGTGGCGGACCGTTCTGCGACGATGAACGGGAGAGGGAGAGTTGTCGACTGGGCGTTTGGCTGGGCGTTTAATAAACTATCATCCTATTCAATCTGATTGGGGTGCCCCGACTCTGACATGTGTCTTCGAAGGACTAACATGGAGGAAGAAGAGAGGGGGTGGTGTTGGTTGTGGTGCCGAAGGACGAAGAGGAGTTGGGTTGGGGGGAGAGTGGGAGGCACGATGTTGAGTTCGTGATTGTGGTAGGGAGAGAAGGGTTCGGCTGATTGACGTGGAGGAGAAAAGATAGTTGACGGCTGGGAGTAAACAAACGAGAAGAAAAGAATTATCAGCTTAGGGTTTCACGCCCATTGATTTCACACCCATTGGTTTCACACCAAAGTTTTAGCTAATGCAATTTTATTCAATAATCATTCCTGATTACATTAGTCCCTTAAATAGATAAAAATTACAAATTTTCAAAATCTCACAAAATCTCTCACAATCAATAACTACCAGATTTAAACCTAATTCGAAATTCAAATCTAAACTACTAAAATTAAATTACAATTCGAAATTGAAATTTCAAAATAAAAAAAAGCCAACTAATAAAAAATTGCCATTTCTTGTCCTCATCATGAAGTCCGTAAAAACTAGAGGGCCGTGAACGAATTTCTTATTATCGCTTAGTAAATGAATAAAATTCTTTGTAAATGTTTATGAATTAATAGTTAATAAAGAATTCCAAGAACAATTATGTTGACAAACTACTTCTATTATTAAATGTAGGATCTCTAATTTTATTAGACGATTGAAAATTCATTAGAGGATTTCCTATAATTATTGAACTGGAGTTTATCTATTACTATGCAATATTTCTAGCTCTGACTAGTCTTTGGACCCTTGCATTGTCCTGAAGCTGTGGAGGATCCAGAATCTTTCCTAGATGATGTCAAAATATTATATTATTTATTGTTCTATATATCGCATAATAACAATGGAAAAAGTTAAGTTTCACTAGTTCTAGAAGACGGTTTTCTTTTTCACCTTTCTTGTGCTTCCCTTCATGGATTCATCGTTTCGAGGGTACTCAGCTATTGTAGTTTTCTAGTCCGAACCTAATTGCAACTATGCTGATTCCCTATATCCTCCGCCTATAAGTATATCCTTCCTTCTCGCATAGTTAATGCTTTCGAAGTATCTCCTATTGATGTTTTGTCTAAGAGATTATGTGGTATTTTCCCTCTTGTTTTCGTCAGGATATCTGGGAAATGATTCTCAAGTTCTTGCTACATCCTCATGTATGGTTGCGCCTCTTGTTTTCGTCAGGATATCTGGGAAATGATTCTCAAGTTCTTGCTACATCCTCATGTATGGTTGCGGAACATTTCCAATCGGCTGGTGGCGTTAAATTTTTCTGCTGTATCTGCTGTATCGGAGGCTGGTAGGGTTATACATGACAATTTGGACCAAGGAGCTTCTTATCTTGCTAATCCAAGCAGGCTTTGTTTGATATCTGCTTCGCTTCTGAACCAGCTGAAGACACAAATCTCTGACGACGGTGCAATAATAAATATCATTACTCAGAATTTTGCATTCTCAATTTGCCATTTGCATAGTTTTACAAAAAAGAGAGCTAATTTGGTTCCACATGAGTTTTGGTCTTCTCTTGGTCAACGCGATCAAACTTCGTATCTTGAGGCATTTCAATTGCTTGGATCCAGTAAGGCAAAGGACATCTTTATGCTGGCAACAATTGACACTAGTCAGGCTCCTAAGGAGGCAGATCATTCTGACGAATACAGCACCAAGAACCTTCAATCTTTGTTAGTTGCACCTTTACTCAAGAGGATGGGAAAAATCGCAATGGAAATGGAGGATATACAGGTGAGTTTATAGAAATAATTTAGAGATTATAGTTTAGACTGATTGTGAAGAATTCAGAAAGACTATACAGGTGAGTTTATAGAAATAATTTAGAGATTATAGTTTAGACTGATTGTGAAGAATTCAGAAAGACCTGTGTCTGATGATAACATTAGAATGGTGTTTGTTATTTATACACGACTTAAACTTTTTGTTCATCTCTCTAAATGGAATTTCCCATAATGCCTGCAGATGAAGGTTGTTTTTAATTGCTTCAGACTGATATCATCACAAATGGGTTCTGAAGGTTGCAAAGACTATGCCTTTTACCTGCTTATTCCTCTATATAAAGCATGTGAAGGATTCATGGGAAAGATTGTTAGTGGTGAGTCACCTCTCTTTTAACCGATACTAATTTGTTTTTTGTTCATCTTGTCTTTCCTAGCATACACTTTTGGTTATAATCACTTGCCAGCGTAAATAAACATTTCGTTTATTGTTTTCTTGTTCAGTAGCATACACTTTTGGTTATAATCACTTGCCAGCGTAAATAAACATTTCGTTTATTGTTTTCTTGTTCAGATGATATCAAACAGCTGGCAGAAGATTTGCCAGCGTAAATAAACATTTCGTTTATTGTTTTCTTGTTCAGATGATATCAAACAGCTGGCAGAAGATGTCCGAGGCAATGTAAGGGACATAATAGGGGTGGACAATTTTGTTCGAGTTTACAATGAAATCAGAAAGAAACTCAAGGGGAAGAGGGACAAGAGGAAGTATGACCAGAAGCTTCTTGCTGTTGTCAATCCTATGAGACATGCAAAGAGGAAGCTGAGACTTGCAGCTAAGCATCGCGCTCATAAGAAGAGGAAGATAACTGCCATGAAGATGATCAAATTGAGAAGATAGGACCTATTTATCATTATTGTTTTTTTCGCAAGGTCGGCTACAATGCAGAAGAGTGTACAGTAATTGTAATGTATTATATTTATAGAGCTTGTTGTATTATGCAGGTGCTTCTTTCTTGATCCTCCCTGGTGGGACAATTTTGATCTGTAGAACACCATTTCATTTATAATTATTTTTGTTTTTTATATCTACATTTTTCAAGTATTAACATCGTTTCACTGGGTAAGAGGGAACATCATGAGTGATTTATGCATCTCTTTATTGCACACTTCTTGCTCTACTTGCTAATCTGCCTGAAACATTGATGCTAAGTAGAAACCACCTGAGCCATCCCCTTGGTGGTTTATCTTCGTTGACTTGGGAAATGTGAAAGGATAAACTGTATCCAAACATCTAACCGATAAAAGGGTTAAGATAACTAGTCCAGATGAATTGAAGCGAGTTAAATGATGCAGTCTAAATGATTTCAGGTGAGCTAAAATGATTTCAAGATGAGTATAATTATCACTTCAAGTGTCTACCAGTTTCAATCGTTTTCTACTTGAAATGGGTTAGCTTGACATTTTTCCATTATTTCCTTCTTATACCTTTGCCACAAGTTATTCACAAAGTTGTATAGCTTAGAAGAGCATGAGTAGTTGGGCGTTGTATCAGGAATTCTTGTAGCTGGGGTCCGGGGAATATTGATTGCAACATGCTCTTGTGTTTTAGACAGAGGTGGTGATTCTTGCACTGTTGGCCTCAATTCATGCGGACCGACCATTTTGCTTGCGCATTTCAAAAGTACGATCATGATTTAAATGAGAGTACTAGCATATGCAACATTGAGTACATACATGTGTACCCCAAATGTGTACCACTAGCAAACGCAATTGCTCAAAGACAGAAAAAAAGACTTTCTTTAGCTGATACTATTGCCAATTATATTATATAATTATCTCCTTTATACAATTTTCATAAATAAAATACAAAAACCTATCATCCATGCGAGTAACATATATGTTGTTATATAGCTGTCCATGCTACAGAAGTTTCAAGTTTCCACACATTTTTCCAAGGAAAATATCTAGGCATTAATCGCGTACGTTAGACATTTTAGCGTATAACTAGATATCTACTCCTTTATAATTAAAAGAGGATCCCAGAATCACTGTTTGTGTTACAGTAAATTCATGTATCATTATCACTGTAGCACAGGGGGATGCTATAGTGTTTTTAAAAATGTTACTGTAACACAGGGGGTGTTGTATTGTTTTTAAAAATGTTACTGTAGCAGAGGCGGGAAACCGTAACATTTAAGTATTACTGTAGTAGAGGCGGGATGTAGCATAACTTATTGATTATTCAAAATATCAGGTATGAGTGTGGAGAAACTTATTAATTGGTTAGAACCGAAAAAACCGAATCAAACCGCACCGAACGGACTTGCAACGGTTCGGTTCGGTTTTGAATAATTGACGGTTCTGTTCGGTTGTTCAAAAATTGATAAAAACCGATCGAACGGACCGTTTGCACACCCCTACCTAAAACCCTGCTTTCTTCTCTTCCTCCTCTCATGGCGACTTCGAGGTCGCAGGCCGTGAAGTGCCTGAATACTTCAGCCCAAAGCGATTCACTCTAAGCTCTCTCCCTAAATCCTACTTCTCCTGCAATGTTATTTCTTTCAATTTATCATCTTTTTGTTTTCCCCCCCAGTTCAAGTGTATCTCCCATAGAATCGAAGAAATCGACATCAATGTCTACAAGAGCCTCGATCCCTTGAGGCCCGAGCCCAAAAGCTCCTCCTTTTTCCTCGACAGTCTTTTGTATTGGCGAGTAAGTTTAGTTTCCTTAAACCCTAGGGTCAGTGGCATAGCCGTAAATTGAAGCTGGGAGGGGTTGTTTCTCCTCTTAAAAGAATTGTGTGTTTTTTCCGAGAGAATTGTGCCATATGTTTAAAACAATTATTTTGGAGTTAAAATGCTGCTTGAAAATCAAGAATGAGACAAAAACAAGGAAATTTTAATTGATACTTTTGTTTAGGCTAATTAGCACTTAACTACCCTATAGTTTTTGTTAGTTTGTATATATATACCCCCACTTGTTTTTGGCAGCGCTAATATTCCCTTAAGTCTTTAGAATTGGCACTTTCATACCTTCCAGTTATGCAAAGGTGAGAATTTTCTTCTTAATAGCTCCATGTGACTCTCACATGCTAATTTTAGAACTTTTTAAAACTTAATGTTTATTGAATTTACTATTTAACGTACTCGAGTAATAGTTCCATGGGTACAAACGTTAAAGATTGAAATATTCCAAAATTAGCAAATGTGTGTCACATAAGAATATCTAGGAGAATATTCTTATGTTTGCATAATGGCTTAGTGTCAATTTTAAGAAATTCAAGATGCATAAGTGCTATAAAAAGCAAGTGAGGTATATAAGGGCAAACAGGAGAATCTAAAGGTACTTGAATGCTAGTTAGCCTTCCTTTATTATCACTTGCTAAGATAGCTAGCTACATATAAAAAGTGAGTAACATAGCACATCTCAAACTAAGAGATCAGCATGTGCAGCTTTCTTAAATTCAGAACCAACTCTATATGTTTATTATTTTTGTTTTTTATTATTTTGGTTGTTTGTATTGGGAGGTTGTTAAAGTTACGGGTTGATTGTTAAGGTTACGGGTTGGTTGTTAAGGTTAATGGTTTGTTGTTAAGGTTGTGAATCCTCTCTTTCTCTTTCTTTTTTTTATTAAAATATGATGGGGATTATTTTATTATTTTTGTTTTCTCTCTCTCTTTATCATGATGTACCAAGAGGATCTTTAGATAGGTAACCCTAACAATTAAACCCGTAACCTTAACAATTAAACCCGTAACCTTAACAATAAATCCGTAACCTACACAACAAATCCACAACCTTAACAACAAACCCTTAACCTTAACAACCAACCCGTAACCTTAACAATCAACCCGTAACTTTAACAACCTCCCAATACAAACAACCAAAATAATAAAAAACGAAAATAATAAAATAATCATCATCAATCATTTCAACTATCCTCTTGGTACATCATGATAAAGAGAGAGAGAAAACAAAAATAATAAAATAATCCCCATCATATTTTAATAAAAAAAGAAAGAGAGAGAGAGAGGATTCATAACCTTAACAACAAACCCTTAACCTTAACAACCAACCCGTAACCTTAACAATCAACCCGTAACTTTAACAACCTCCCAATACAAACAACCAAAATAATAAAAAACGAAAATAATAAAATAATCCTCATCAATCATTTCAACTATCCTCTTGGTACATCATGATAAAGAGAGAGAGAAAACAAAAATAATAAAATAATCCCCATCATATTTTAATAAAAAAAGAAAGAGAGAGAGAGGATTCACAACCTTAACAACAAACCCTTAACCTTAACAACCAACCCGTAACCTTAACAATCAACCCGTAACTTTAACAACCTCCCAATACAAACAACCAAAATAATAAAAAACGAAAATAATAAAATAATCCTCATCAATCATTTCAACTATCCTCTTGGTACATCATGATAAAGAGAGAGAGAAAACAAAAATAATAAAATAATCCCCATCATATTTTAATAAAAAAAGAAAGAGAGAGAGAGAGGATTCATAACCTTAACAACAAACCCTTAACCTTAACAACCAACCCGTAACCTTAACAATCAACCCGTAACTTTAACAACCTCCCAATACAAACAACCAAAATAATAAAAAACGAAAATAATAAAATAATCATCATCAATCATTTCAACTATCCTCTTGGTACATCATGATAAAGAGAGAGAAAAAACAAAAATAATAAAATAATCCTCCATCATATTTTAATAAAAAAAGAAAGAGAGAGAGAAGGGTATTATGGTCTTCACATGTTTTAATGTCTTGGGTTTTGTGTTTTGGGGGCTCAGAGAACAGATTCTTTATTTTTAGGGGTAAAACACCCATTGACCAAGTCCTGGGGGTGGGAAGCATGTTCACTTGGCTTTTGGGGGCTGGAAGCATTTTTCCCTTTTTTTTATTTGGAGTATGAAATTTTTTTTTGGACTCAGGAACTGAACACCGCAGAGGACTTCATCTCGTTTTATGAGGAGATGATGCCTTTAGTCCAGACGGTGCCGCGAATTTTATTCGAGCAGGATAAAATTTTCTCCGAGCTTATCCGGAGAGTGAACATGAAAGCGCAGTTGTCCCTCGAACCGATACTAATGTATGTATGCTTGTCAAACTCTGCTTTCTAGGTGCAGTGCTTATTACATAGTTTTATTACCTAGTAGCATTGTATGCCATAGGCAAGTGTAAAATTTTTGTATGTAGTTTGAATATGCTATGAGCTAGTGGAACAAAATGCATGCTTGCATAATTTGTTGAGATAAAATTATCCTTGTAAATGATTAACATAGATGTTGAGCCAAGTCTTTCTTGGACTACCTTTAATTATCCATGATTTTTTTGCGTAGAGGCGGTGTTCACTTATATGTTACTTGTTTGAACCTGTTTCACAATAATAACAGAGTTTGGTGTGTAGATTAGCTTTTCTCAGCAATAGTCTTCAATGGCTCTGAACTTAGGTCTTGAAACTGTTATGTGGGTGGTATCTTCTCATGATTATTAGTTGTGGTGAGGATCTACGAATTGGTAATCTAGGTAGCCTTTGGTTGAAGGTATCTTCTCATGATTATTAGTTGTGGTGAGGATCTACGAATTGGTAATCTAGGTAGCCTTTGGTTGAATGCTCATCACATTACTTACAAAGTTATCAAAGGATCTACGAATTGGTAATCTAGGTAGCCTTTGGTTGAATGCTCATCACATTACTTACAAAGTTATCAGGTTTTAAGGTTATATTTTACCGAACTATCTCCAATCTTTTGAGCTTACATTCCTTCATAGAGCATAATTGTTTATTCTTTTTATTTCTTATCAAATGTCTCGGAGTTTCCTTAAGATTTACCAACTTGGACATTTTATATTTAACTATTTTGTGCTGGAGTTGTGGCTTACTGCAGAAACGTTTAACATGCATTCCAAGTGTAAATATTATTAAACGTGAAGGAAGCTTGGCATACCCAAACTTAGACTGAAAATTGTCATGTGAAATTAAGTTAACCTCATCATAGGGTTCAAGCTTGTTAAATTTCGCCCCCTCCAGAATTTGGTATAATTATGATTGCACATGAGCTTAGTCCTGAGCTTATGCATCTAGTCTTCAACATGGGTTCAACCATGAGTTGCTGAATATATGCAAGGTCATCCTAAGTATTAATGTTAATCACAAGAATCCATTGACAGCCTTTACAAAGGAAATTTACCTATTGCAAGTTAATTGTATATTTGGCGTATTCTAAGATCTAGGTCTAGAAGTTTGTTGGCGTGATTGCTTGACTATTGAAGAACTATTGCATCACAAACGAGCAAAAATCAAACTTTTATTGATGGGCATTGCTGCCATAGCAAAGGGCATATATAATGTAGGTTCACTGCACTTTTTGGGTGTAAATGGTAGATGGGGGTTGTGAGTTACGGATTTGTGATTCAGGTCAATTTTAAGACTAGAAGTACATAAATGCAAACACTTGAATACTGGATTTGTGATTCAGGTCAATTTTAAGACTAGAAGTACATAAATGCAAACACTTGAATACTAATACATATGCAACAACAACAATTAAATCTTATGGGACTAGAAGTACATAAATGCAAACACTTGAATACTAATACATATGCAACAACAACAATTAAATCTTATGGTAGAAGTTGGTGTTTGATTCATAATGTGGAAATATATTTTGTTCATACTTATTACCATCTTTATGAAATGAACGTGAATGTTAAATGTTTCTCTAGAATATTAATTTATATTATCTCAGAGAGTAACTCCTTATATTTGCATTCCTAGTTTGTGCTAGTTCCATTTTCTTGTCAATTTCATCCAAGCTGCTCAGTAGAAACTGAACAAATAATAGATATTCTGAACTTTTTATGAATTATCTGTCTGATTGAATTGTGCAATACTCACTCCTTTTGGCTTTCCATTTGATTAAATGTGTAATATTTGTTCGTTTTGGAAATTTTTACTTGTTTATACATATGTTCTTTTATTGAATTTCCCGTGTGTTGTTTGTTTGTTTATGCAGGTTAATAGCTAGTCTATCAAGAGATATCCTACAAGAATTCTTACCGTAAGCTTTCTCACCTTGTGCTATTCTTCTAAGTCTCTGTGCGGCCTTTGATTCTACTATCGGAAACCTTTTCTTCTTTGACTGGCATTTGGCATGCACAAATTCTTCATCCTAAAGGAAAAAGGGTTATTTTCATGCACATTTTTATTGATAACTTGTCCTGGTAAAGTGTAAGATGAGAGTTATTGATGTGTTATTCGCAAAAAGTGTGTTTTTCTTCTATGACTCGCATGTGGCATGCACAAATTGTTATGTTATTCGCAAAATAGCATTGTAGCATTTTAAAACGGAATTACCGTAGCAGAAACAAAAGGTGAGGCCGTGCTTTGCATGGGGTGCACAATAGTTAGTTATATGTAGACCTGTCCATTCGGGCCGCGCAAAATCGGAGCCTAGACCCGGACCCGGACCCGGTTGCCCCAGGCCTGCCCGGATTTTTTCTTTGAAAAAAAAACCCCACCTTTTTTATCTCGAAGTCTGTCCAACCCAGCTGTCAAACCCCGACTCCCCAGAAACAACCCCCCTTCGAAATCGAGATCAGAACTCTCCCCAAATCCTCCCTCTCCACCTCTCCCCCTTCGATTTCGCTCAGGCCATCGCTCCCCCTTCGATTTCGCTCAGGCCATCGCTCAGGCCAACCCACCGCCTCTCCCCAAATCCTCCCTCTCTGCCTCTCCCCCTTCGATTTCGCTCAGGCCATCGCTCAGGCCAACCCACCGCCTCTCCCCAAATCCTCCCTCTCCGCCTCTCCCCAGAAACCCCTCCCCTTCGAAATCGACCCCAGATTCGACCCCAAATCCGCTCGTTTCGGCCTCTCCCCCTTTGATTTCGCTCAGGCCAACCCACCGCCGCCGCTCGGACTGAGAAATCGGCGACCGCCGCCGCTCGTTTCGTCTCGTGAGGCCAACCCCGACTCCCCCTTTCGATCTCTCTTGACAGGTAAAATTTCAAATTCTCCTCTCTCGACCGCCCTCCTTTCTTCTTACTGTAATGTTCTGTAAATTCTAACATTTACTGTTAAATTTTGAAATATTTGTTCTAGGGTTTAATCGAGTCGGAAAGGTGGGGTAAGGGTGTTGGGATCTACCTTCTGTACTTGACGCCGGCATTGAGTTTGACAGCGATCATCCATCCTCACCGCAGCCCTCTTTGATTTAGGTAATGTCCTAAAATTTGAGAATTTGATTCAAATATTGAGAATTTGTGCTCAAAGTATGTGTATCGTGGCGGTGGGAATTGCCTTTATTTTTTTACGGTTCATATTTCTTTGATTTTCGGAACCATGAAGCAATGTCACTCTTTCTCGTTCTGTAGATATTTACCATTTTAGAATAAAATTAAATATTTTGTTAATAGATATACTCACTACAGTAATGGGGTACTGCAGTAATGTATATGCTAAAATCTCGATGTTTCTTAAGCAAATAACGACACTCTTAAAAACAGCATGTTTATATAATCTCGATGGTAATTTTGGTAAAATATATAACTGGATCTAGACAGTGAGACGGACATGAGATCGTTAATTGCATTACAGAGAACAAAAGTTGGCATTATAGAGAAATAAAACATGTTACAAACTTCTTATTCAAGGAACTTTTGAATGTTCCATCAGCGTAGCTGATATGAAGTCAGGTTGCCTGAGATCTCCCAATACCCTAAAGGGCCTTAGCAAATGACAAAGATATAACTTCATGCAGATCAACATCCAAACATGAAAAGGAAGGGAGTGCCTAACGTCGGTAAGGCTTGCTTTTAATGCTCAGGAAACAACAGCTTGTTTAGATGCTACCGTTAGTACTAGTCGCCTTCCTTTGTCATTATCCTAGAGAGCAAGATAAGTTCATTGTCCAATCTCCAAAAAACTGATGCTTGGCCAATAGCACATCAAAAAATGATGTAAGAGAAGAATTGACCCCCTTCACCGCAGCCCTCTTTAATTTTGCCATTTTGTGGTGATGTATTATGTAATCCAAGTTCATTCCTCCACAGTCAAATGTTATTTTTGATTATTGATCCTACAGTAAAATTCATAAAGTATATGCTACTTTTGCAAATTTTAGGAAGTCATGGAAGCTTCAGTTTTGGGCTTACCAGTATTGTGCTTTAATTTTACCAGGTTTAATTAAAGCAAATTTATAAAGTATATGCTACTGCATGTTTGCAAATTATATGACAAAAAACACAATTACATCTTGTGATTGTAGCTATTTCCAGAGTCATGCAAAATCAAATGGATGTGATTTTATTCTTCACTCAGTGGTAGCAATTACTTCTCGAATTTGGACTTATAATTTCTCTTAATTCCACAAAGAAATTAAGAGAGTTTTTACTGTGATTTTGCTTCAAACCATAATTTTTTAGGTGGTCCATGGCAAGAAAGAGTTTTTACATTGTGAAGAGAGGTCGACGATGTGGAATTTTTAATAATTGGGAGGACTGTAAAATACAAGTTGATAAATTCCCAAATGCCGTATGTAAAGGGTATGCAACGTACGAAGAGGCTTTGGTTGAATGGGATAAGCACAGCATCGCTTGTGATTCAGCATCCAGTACAGGGCATGTCCAAACACCTTTTTATGTCCCGACACCTGATTCTGCATCGAGCTCAAGAACTACTATTCCCCCATCTATGCTTTTGCATTAGGTTCAGTGTTTACAATATTAGTGTTTGTAATATGTATCGTTGTCATATTTATTTTTTTCTCTCTTGCAAAAAATATGTGATTGTGAGAACTTATGTATCGAGTAACTTATGTGATTGTGAGATTGTGAGAACTTATGTATCTTGTGAGAACTTATGTGATTGTGAGAACTTATGTCATATTGTTTGTATCAGATCAATAGCAATCTGCGCTGCTATGGATGTTTTATTAGCTTAGTTTAATTCTATATTAGAGATGTACTGTGGATGTTTTATTACTTTGGCTTCTTTCTAACCCTGATATATATCATGCATCCAGTGTGGGAGCCTTACGTATGTAAGGTCCAAGCCAAAACAGCTGGAGCATAGTTATCATTTATACGACAGTCATGTTTGATCAGTCATGTTTGATAGAAAGCTTCTTGCTTCCTTCCTTGTGACATAATTTGGCATAAATCTATCTTAATAAGCTGACACCACCTTAAATTTTCCACCTCAAACGTAACATGTTTTATGTTTGATGATAGCAACTAGAAAGCCAGCGTGGTGCTGTAAATGCGAAAGATCCATGGGGTTTTGATGATAACAGGTTGACTAATTTTGCTCAACGCTCGCTGCCTCCTGAACAACATCGCATGCATTACTTGCGTACACGAATCAGCCGACGAGGTGAGAGTGACTCAATTAGATGGGCAAAAGAACATAGAGGAGTTTTTTTTAACTGTTAATTATGCAGCTACATACGTAACGTTTCATGTCAATTATGCAGCCTTGCATACGTGTTTCTCTATCAATCAACACTTTGGTCAACAACTCTCAAATAAATGCCTCAACTCAAACAGCCTTTGAACTACAAATCATATCACAATACAATTCACATACATCAGCATAAATGAAAGTTACTACAAGAACTGCATAAATGAAAGTTACTACAAGAAGCCATAGAATTAAAACTTACAAACTTCACAATACAATTCACATACATCAGCAGCTACAAGACAGAGTTGTGGACTACAAGACAACAATCCATATCAAATAACCAATAACACACACACATACTCGGTCTTAATACATTAGTCTTAACACATCAGCAGCTACAAGGCACAATCAGTCTTAACACAATCAGTCTTAATACATAAAATGTAGTAATACATCAGCAGCTACAAGACAATCAGCAACAGTTGTGGATGAACCTGCAAATAAATTGTTTGTTAAAAGTTAAAAACAAAGTAAATAAAGCGCTGTTAAAGATTGATACACAAAAATGCAAGCAATCATACGTACATTAATCATGAGATATGACTTTTTGAACAAACCAATACATCCACCACCCGTGCATATGTTTACCTGCAAATTATATGACAAATTAATCATGAGATATGACTTTGTGCTATCAAGTTTCATAAACTTATATAGGGTTAAAACTGAATATCAACGAAAATGGTACCTTTGCAAGTTAACTTTACAACTAGTTCTATAATGCCCGAGTTCACCACATCTGCTACATATGCGTTTCTTCCTTGTTTGGATTAGTTCGGGGTTAATATCTAGTTAGCTACATTTGAGATATATGGTATATACATGAGGGTTTCCTTGTTTGGATTAGTTCGCTCGATGTACTACGTCTCTTGTTGTAGATTTCTAAGTATTAATTTCCATTAGACATGGGGAATATGATTTTAGGTAGTCTATACCTAATAGATAGAGCCTTCATTACATCTAGTAGCCTTTCCTCTGGGGACGGATGAAGGTGATCTTGCTATAGCGCTCTGACGCTCTTGTTGTTCTTTTTGTTTTAAACTTCTCTTTTAGACAACCTAGAGTTTTGGAGAGCCGCAGGATGACGGAGTTATTGCATAGTCATCTTCACATGAGTTATTAGTAGAGACTCCACGGTAGAGTTTATCTCCATTCGGACATTGGAGTTTTGTATCACACTTTGTAAAGGCTATGAGCCTTAGTTACATTTTTAGTTATTTCATGTCGAGACATATTCTTTATTTCGGATATCAGATGTATTCCAAATTGTTCACCGAGACATAATTTATTTATGAGACACTCCTTTCTATATCATGTTTGTTGTAGTTATTTCCTTTCTTTAGCCTGCTTTGTACCTGCACTTTATTTTGATTCCACTAGAGGATATTGCTGTGATTTGGTGAAACTTGTTGTAGCACAGTGTGGGTGCATGGCAAATTTGACATCTCTGGGTTCACCTTGGACTGTAGCCATGTGTGAAATCAGTGGCGTCACAGTTGGTATCAGAGCTCTAGTTCCAGTATCCTTAGAATCATCCTGTAATGAGTCGTGGAGCTAGAATAGAGTTTCTTAGGATTCATGTATAGAGTCCGCTAAGAGAGAGAGAATTACAGAAATGTAAATTACGTATTATTGCAGACTTTGTGGGAACATCAGCTGTATGCAAAATTTAGCAAATGTGAATTCTGGTTATCAGAAGTCAGATTTTTAGGCCATGTCATCAGTCAGGAGGGCATTACAGTAGATTCGACTAAAGTAGAAGCCGTACTTGATTGGGAACCACCGAAGACAGTTACAGAGGTTCGTACCTGCTTAGGTCTGGCAGGCTATTACAAAAAATTTATTCAAGATTTCTCGAAGATTGCCACGCCACCCACACGCCTTACTAAGAAGGGTGTACAGTTCATTTGGAGCACAAAGTGCCAGAAGGCATTTGAGACATTAAAGACTAAGTTGACTTCAGCACCAGTATTGATTATTCCCAGCAGAGTGCCAGAAGGCATTTGAGACATTAAAGACTAAGTTGACTTCAGCACCAGTATTGATTATTCCCAGCAGTGATAAGACTTTTGTTGTCTACACTGATGCATCCTTATCGGGTCTTAGAGGAGTATTGATGCAGACCCAGAGAGTTGTAGCCTATATCTCGAGACAGTTGAGGATTCATGAGCAGAATTATCCCACGCATGATTTGGAGCTAGCAGTAGTGGTCTCTGCACTGAAGGCGTGGAGACATTATTTGTACGGAGTATAGTTTGAGTTATTCATAGATCACCAGAGTTTAAAGTACCTCTTTTCACAGAAAGAACTCAATCAGAGACAATGACGATGGGTAGAGTTTATAAAGGATTACGAGTTTGCTATACAATACCATCCGGGAAAGGCGAACATAGTAGCAGACGCGTTGAGTAGGAAGCGTCGTCGCGGGCTAGCGGCTTTGAGGTGTTCACTACATCGGGATCTTATTACCCTCAGCTATTATGATTTCAGGCCAGAGATTGGCGGAGGCAGTGTTTTCTTAGGAGCTTTATCAGTGCAGTCGTCTTGGAGAGATAGAGTAGTCAGAGCTCAGTTAGAGGATTCTTGGATTTAAACCCGTAAGGGGGAGATCTCCAAGGAGCCCAAGGATGATTGGACTATTGGAGTAGACGGAGGCCTTCGGATGAAGGGTAGGATTGTCATGCCGAATAATCTACAGCTGAAGAGAAAACTTTTTGACGAGGCACATCATAGTAGATATACAGTGCACCCAGACATGACGAAAATGTATAAGGATCTGAAGAGGTAATTTTGGTGGAGTGGTATGCGCAGAGAGATTGCAGAGTATGTGGCTAAGTGTTTTACCTACCAGCAAGTTAAGGTAGAACATCAGAGACCTGCAGGAACTCTACAGCTTTTACCCATTCCCGAGTGGAAGTGGGCGGATATTTCTATGGATTTTATAGTAGGGTTGCTTAAATCAAAGAAAGGAAATGATTCTGTTTGGGTTATAGTGGACAGATTGACAAAGTCAGTGCATTTCTTACCCGTGAGAACGACTTATACGGTAGACACATGCGAGGATTTTTATTCGAGAGATTATCAGATTGCATGAAGTTCTGGAGATGATTGTATCAGATCAGGGCTCAGTTTTCACATCCCATTTTTAGAGGAGTTTCAGAATGTTTTTGGTAGCCAGTTATCATTCAGTAGTGTCTTCCACCCTCAGACAGATGGTCAGACCGAGAGGGTGAATCAGGTGTTAGAGGATATGCTGAGAGCATGTGTTATAGATTTTCAGGGTAAGTGGGAGGACCACATCCCATTGATTGAATTTGCATATAATAATAGTTATCAAGCTACCATCGAGATGGCGTCGTATGAAGCCTTATACGGGAGGCCTTTCAGGTCGCCTATATGTTGGGCAGAGCCAGATAATAGTTTATTACTTAGCCTGGAGCTAGTTAGGCAAACCACGAAAAATGTGGCATTGATTCGAGAGCGCATTCTTGCTGCACAGAGTAGGCAAAAGAGTTATGCAGATCAGCGGAGACGACCCTTAGAGTTTCAGGTCAGAGACTTAGTTATGTTGAAAGTATCACCGATGAAGGGCGTTCAGCGATTCGGTAGACGGGGAAAGCTTGCCCCGAGATATGTTGGTCCCTTCAGGATTATCGAGCGCATTGGAGCTGTTTCTTATAGGTTAGATCTTCCAGCATCGATGTCGAGTGTACACGATGTATTTCATATTTTAATGCTTAAGAAGCATTTACGTGACGAAGAGCAGTAGAGGGTGATTGATTCACCAGAGGTTGAGATCCAGGATGATTTGACTACCTTAGAGATTCCAATATGCATTCTTGCTAGAGAGAATAAAAAGTTTAGAAACAAAGTCATTCCATTAGTGAAAGTTCAGTGGAACCGGCAAGGAGCCGAAGAGATTTCTTAGGAGCGCGAGGAGGATGTTCATCGCGACTACCCGCACCTGTTTGAATAGGTAAAGTGTTGATATTTAAATGTGTTTATATGGGTTGATAGATTTGATTATATGTGTTGTTTAGTCACATTTATATTTAATGCTAGAATGGGTCATTCAACACTTAGCTCTTAATTATTTGGAACTTGTTTAGTCACATTTATATTTAATGCTAGAATGGGTCATTCAACACTTAGCTCTTAATTATTTGGAACATATGGTATATATATGGGGGGTTCCTTGTTTGGATTTTTCGCACGACGTACTAGTTCCGTCTAAGTAAGGGTTAAGTGAGAATGTACTCATTTTAGTTTGTTAACTTTAAATGTTGCTCATATTTCAAATCGGGAGATTAATGATACGAGATGTGTACGTGAGGGTTTCCTTGTTTGGATTATTCCCTTTTTGTGCTTTTCTCGTATTATTAATCTCTGCGATGCGACTGCGGAATTTTGAGGACGAAATTCTTTTAAGGGGGGTGAATATAAAACCCCTAAAATTTGTGTTAATATAATTAATATGAGGTTAATTATGATCTATGAATATTTATTTTGATAAATATAGTTAAATGGTGTATGAGTATGATACCATGTGTTTTGAGTATGAACGAGTTCATACATGAGAAAGAAAAGAGTCGAAACATGCACAATAGCAAAAAATATGAGTACCTGGAAAATTCCAGTCCGTTCGACTGCAGTCCGGTCGACCGTCACGGTCGACCGCGAGACGTGCAGAGAGTTTTCTCATGTTTTGAGTTGGTTTTAGTTTTCTAAAGCCCATATCCGTTTTCTGGTATTTATATATCATATGTTCACGATATTTTTAGTTTTCTAAGAACCCTAACAGCCACCAAAACCCCTTTAAACCCTAATTTGATTCTTGGAGAAGATTAGAGGCTTTCAAGTGGATTTTTGCGTGATTTTTAGCATTTGGATTAGAGATCTTCTTTGGCTTGGCTTCTTAAATATTTTTCTACAAATCCCAGGCAAGTTCATATCTGCTAATCCCCCTCCTAGCTTTTAAAATGTTTTTAAAGAGTTTTTAACATGTTTTATAGAGCCAAATTGACTAGTTTATGAATAAAAGTCAATTCTTTTGTATTATATGTATAAAGACTAGGTCTTTCCATGTTAAAAAGTTTGAGAACAAATTTACAGAAATATTTAAGATCTAAAAATGATTTAAAACGTTGCTTAATCTGAAGAAAGATGATTTGTTTTTCGTTTTGAGTTTTTATACATGAATTAGGGTTTTGTGTATCAAGTTAATGCAAATAATCATACTATATATGTTGAGATTACTTCCAGAAGTTTCTATCTGCTGTAGACATGTTTTCAAGCAAGTATTTTATTATTTTAATCATGTTTGGATCACATAAACACGACGTGAGCACAACACACACTGTCAGTATGAGAATCTGGAAAATCTACCCACGGTTGACCGCGCCTTAATGGCGGTCGACCGCGTGCAGGACAGAGGCCAGGGTAGACCCTGTCTGAAACCCGTCGTGGTCAACCGTCGCGTAAATTGCGGTCGACCGCCACTCAGTCTTTGGCCTGTGCATGTTTTGTTCAACTGTTTGAGGTTTTGAGCGAGTCTCTTGACCTTGTACTGTTATGATACCATGTTTATAAGTTGTTTAACACCTGGGATGTCAGTGAATATCAGATATGGACACGCACACCGAGATATGTGCACGTATTTTAGATTATGTTGTGTTAACATACTTTTTGTCATAATTTAATTTGATAAATAAATACGAAGAGTATTGAAAACTTATGTATCCGGAATGGAGA